ACTATACCTGTTTTTAGCTCTGCTGGATATGTACCACTTTGCACAGATGTATTTATAAGATTAGCTATAATGGGTGCAATTTTATTACTTATAATTTTAAGATCAATAATTCTTATTTCATCAAAACCAGGAGTTCTTTTAGTGCTTAATGAATGGATAATTTCGTTTATAACATATCCTGCCGTGGGTTTTTGAAATTTAATAGAGTCTTTAGCTGGACGGCAGTAACTTGCTAATTCCAGAATACTAATATTACATTTGGTTATAATATTATTTACGCTGTTCTAAATGTTTTCACAAAATTAAAGGCGATGTCGGCAATTTTTAGGGTGTTCGTTACAGTTATAGTTTTCTTATATCTTTTTTGTTGTTAATAATTTCAGATTTTATATTTTTATTTATGCTATCTTGTATTATTTTATTAGCGTAATTTATAGCTTTATTGTATTCCAATTTTAGTATTTTGTTTTTTGTATCTTTAAGCCATTTTATAAATAATTTGTCTTTATAATTGCATGCCGTATGTTTTTTTATTCATCAATTCAAAAAAACATTCTTGATATTGATGTAAGTGAAAAATTAACAGATGAGACGTAATTTAATCAACTTCATGAAAGAAATACAAATAGTTATATATTAATTAATTAATATGTTTTAATACAGACTCACAAAATAGCGCTATGTTTTATATAATTGCTTTTGTCAGTTTTTAATAAATGTTTGGAATGGGATCGTGGTCTTTGTTTAATATCTCTTGAAATTTTGTTTTACATGAAGTTCATGAAAAAAACTTTTTTGCTTTTAACCGATTTGAAAAAAGTAGAAGGTTTTATATATATATGACAGGCGGATTGGCAACCGTAGCTTTTGTTTCTTTTCCTTCTGTTGTTTCTTACGACGCCCACGGGATGTTATCGGGTAGTGTTTGCTCTTTTGTCGCAACTGTGCTTTGTTGTAGCCATGATCACGGGGATTAAAATCTAGAATGCACTTTTTAATAGCTTCACGAGCTTCACTTCCAATCGGATGTAGAAGCAAAAAAAAATCTGAACCCATTTGAGAACTTTTAACTTTTAAGAAGTTTATTAAGAATAACAAAATAAACATAAAATCAGTTTTAATAAATGTATAGTTTTTAAGAACATAACAAAACATTAAAGAAAAAAGACTATGTTATTCTAGGTTTTTAACGGTTTTAAGTCTAATAGGTATGTTTCTAGACTTTTCCGTAAAATGAATTGTATAAACACGATATTTTAATCTTTTCATTTATTTATGGATAACACGAAAGGTATTTCGAAACGTAATATATTCCTTAAAAACATAAGCAATCTCCTCGAGTTACCGAAACGTGAGATTATTTAAATTGCCAATCACAGAGTGAAATTTTTTCAACATGGTGCAGAGGTGCAGGGCTTAACGTAGCAACATATGCACGTAATTGCTGACTTTAAAAAGAGGTGACATGGGAGTGACATAAAAGAGCGCGCTGTAAATGGCTCTTTTGTATGTGTAGGCGACACGCACGTTCTGTACATACTAATTTCTACATAGGTTAAATTATTTTTACTTATGTTAAATTTATTAATTTTAAGGTTAATTATGATAAAGATACTTTATTAAAACATAATTTTAAGCTGTACAATTGCCATTATCTCATTATTATCGATGCCCAAAACAATTTGTTAAATCTTGTTTTAAAATTATCGAGCCTCGTCGTCTTTTAACGCGTCAGCCTTGCTCTTTCTGACCTACTTTTTTGGCTAAATATTCTTTGTTGCAAAAGATTCCATCCACAGAAATCGCTATCCTTGGATATCTTGGATATTTTAACGCCCATCACGCCGAATGCCTCAATTCGCGTCTATCCAATCTGTTTATGACTTTGCCTTTGCATATGGTCTGAAACAACTAGTTACTTCGCCTACGTGGATTCCAAATGTGGAGAATCAAACACCTTCCCTGTTGGACTGCAGGCTACCGCTGCGTCTGACACTACAGGTGGGCTGATTAGGATAGGATGCGATCCTTTTCCTACCATTGGGGGTGGGTTGCATCATGCCGGACAATCCCAACGTTGTAGCCAATTTTGTCACTGATGTGGTACTTAAAGGTATGGAACTTTTTATTCCTTCTTCTGTGGTGGGCACCAGAGGAAGATCCCAGCCACAGTTTAGTCTCTCCTGTAAAATAGCATCACACAATAAGCCGTCGTACTAACGGGCCTGGGCTGATGCATGAAAATCAAAATTAAAACCAGCCCTTCAGGTCCTTCAAAAAATTCATTGCCAAGGTAAAGTCAGAGCACATCGCCAGAATTGGCGAGAAACTAGTTCGCCTTCCTTCGGGATTTCGTGCATTCTGGTCTCTCTCCAAGGCTGTTCAAGAAAACTTCTGTTAGCCACCTCTCCATCTCTGCACAGGGAGAATGACTCACTGGCTCATGCTGCAGAAAGTCGAAGTGCTTGGCTCTCTCTTTGCATCCAATTCGTATCTCGGTGACGGCGGGAGCACACCCCCGATCATGCCGCAGTGGGAGTGCTCAATGCCCGATATGTAGTTTAAACAGCGCTCGCTTCGCGAAGCACTCCTCTTTTAACACTTTTTTAACTCCTCTTTTGTAGCTTTTGCAATTAGACCAAATGGAGGGTTCAGACAATTGTTATTTTATAATATTAGATTCTTAAACTAACTTACAGTCTACCTGATGATAAATGCCAACTTAAACAAAAAATTGAACTTTTCTGACTTAGAAATCATCTGGGTAGACACGAGTACCATTCTTTTAACTACGTCTTCCGCCAACCAACGGTATTTGCGTTACTGCATGCCAGTTTAAAGGGTATAGGGAGCCAATATAATTACAGGTTGTGACGAATTTAATATTGATCCTAAGAGGTGACAAAGCATCTGTAACCTTCATTATGTAAAGTTGGCTGCAGATATCCACGTTCTGCAGTAAGTGGCTAAGTATCAAATGGACCGTTGGATCATTAATTACTTCAATTTTATTTAAAAAAAAAACTCAAACCAAGAAGGTCATAAAAGTGTTGTCACTGCTGAGGACTATGATGAATTTCCTTCCTGAAATTTGAGTCTAAATCAAAAGACGCGCATTGTTTTTTGATATTGTATAAAACGTGGTAAAGCCATGTTCATTTGATCGAGAAGAACTCTCACAGAATATTGACGTAAAATATCAGGGTAATGCTAATCAAAGCTACTTAATTATTAACATATTTAATATTGATTGAAAAAAAAAAACAAAAATTGATAGAAAAGTCTTTATTGCAACAAAAACGAATTTATACATATCAATGTGATCCTAGCACCCGTAAAAGGTTAACCTGAGTAACAGGAGCTAGTTCCTTACTAAATTTAACAAGCTTTTGTTGAATAAAAACACAAAAAAATATACAAAAAATACATATAATCTACGTGTTTCTAAACCTACGTACACACACACACACACACACACACACACACACACACACACACACACACACACATACACACATGTGTGTGTGTGTGTGTGTGTGTGTGTGTGTGTGTGTGTATGTGTACATGAGTGTATGTATGGTGAGAGTGTGTTTTTACTATTTTACTGTGAAAATTTTATAATTCGAAATTTGTATGATTGCCTGCATTATTAATGATTTATATGTACAATAACAAATAATATGAGGACAATAAAAAATTACAGTTACATTTACGTACTACAGGTTTAATAGACATTCAGTAGCGTTATAGTCATAATTTTGAAGCCAATTAATAATTTTATTTTTGATTTGATGGTTGTTGTAGCTTTTAGTAATACAAATTTTATTAAATTTATTGTATAGTACTGATGCAAGGTAAAAAAATGTCTTTTGGCAAAAGCACTATGTGTTCTAGGGATTAAGTATCTATCTAATTTATTTCTTCTATTATGTTTTATACTGTCAAGTTGATAGTGTGCAGAGTACCTATGGAATCGTCTAATACATTGGTATATAAATAATTTTCTCATACTAAGTACCTGTATTTTTTCATAAAACAGTGTTGTGAGATGTCTATATGGAAGAAAAGTAATACTTTGAACACAACATGTTGAGCTTTTTCAGCATCTATTAGGTACGTTTTGCCTGCCCTACCCTAAGAACAGATCCCTTAAGTAATGACAGTTTGACAGAGCATATTAAATGTTTGTATCAGTAATTTAGAGTATGCCACCTGACGCAATGACTTAAAACATATATGATTTTTCTTATCCTGTGTGATGTGATTTTAATATGTGGAGCCCAATTCAAATTTTCATCGACAGTGATCCCTAAGTATTTCACAGTTTCGGATCTGTTGAGTTTTGGGCAACAGCAAGGGGTCTGTGATTGTCTGTTGCATTTATTTAAGTGTATTTGTAAACCAAGATCGTTCAAAGTACTTGAAATACTAGTCTTACTAAAACAGAGGTATGTGGTTTTAGAAGCGTTCAGAGAGAGAAGACTATCTTCGAGCCAACTTGCCACTTCACATAACCCATTTTCAACAAAACGTTTGATTTTTCCTATGTACTACCATGGAGTAGATTTACTGTATCATCCGTATACATGGTAATGTCTGCTCCTTTAGGATCTAGGTCGGCTAACTGATTTATATATACTAATAATAGGGTTGGCCCGAGTGTACTGCCCTGTGGGACACCATATAAGCAAGAATGGTCTTGACTGATATATTTATCAAGTCTGACATACTGAGTTCTACTAGTTAAGTAAGTTCTAAACCATGACAGAACTACACCTCGAACACCCACATTTTGTAATCTCTAAATTTTTTGAAATATAGCTATTTGTCTCTAAGTGGTTTGTTATTTTAATATTTCGACAAATTTTTCGATTACTTTGGATAATACGCATAAGAGCGAAATGGGTCCATAATTAAATGTTAAAGATTTGTCACCTGATTTGTAAATTGGGATTACTATTGACTTTTTAAGCGTACATATACATAAACACTCACGCCTGTCACCCAGAGGGGTAGGCAGAGACTACAGACTTCCATTTAGCACGATCCTGACATACCTCTCTCGCCTCTTCCACATCCATATACCTACGCATACATGCTCGTCGGTTAAGGGTACTCTTAATTTGGCCCATTTTTAGTATATCGCCAATTTGGTCGACAAACTTCCGCCTAGGATGTCCCTGTCCGACTCTTCCATTCACTTCTGCAACAAATATTTGCTTTGTCAGTCTTTCCTCATTCATTCTTTCTACATGACCAAACCACCGAAGCATTCCTTTCTTAATCCTGGTCACCGCATCATCTTGCAAACCACACTCTTCTTTTATCACACAATTTCTCACCCTGTCACTCAGATTCAGCCCTAACATACTCCTTAGCGACCGCATTTCTACTGCATTTATTCCACTCTCGTGCTTCTTCTGCCACAACCAACTTTCACTACCATACGTTAAAGTAGGGACTAATACAGCACTGTGAATTGCCATACGTGCCTTTTTTGACATATTCTGACTTTTCACAATAGAGTGTAGAGCCCCATTTACTTTATTTCCTGCATTCACTCGTCGTTCAATATCCTTATCATATCTCCCATCCCTGCTGAATACACATCCCAAATATACGAACTCATCCACTTGTTCAATTAACTCTCCTTCTATTCTTATTTCACATACCGTCTTGCTTTCATCTCTTTCAAAAACCATCACTTTCGTCTTACTTGCGTTCACTTTCATTCCCCTTTCTTTTAATGACCTGTTCATTAATGTAACCATCATTTGCAACTCGGCCGCCGACGACGCAAGTATGACTTGATCATCGGCGTACAAAAAGCATTTGACGGTTAACTCACCCATTCTTAACCCGCATTCTTCAACTTTCAAATTTTCCAAACAGCTGTCCATAAATAGGTTGAACAGCCACGGGGAAGCTACACAGCCCTGTCTGACACCTTTATGGATGCCAAACCAGTCCGAGTAGACCCCGTTGATTCTAACACAAGCACTCGAGTCCCTATACAGAGGCTTTAATGCCTGTATCAAACCAGCGCTCAACCTAAATGCGTTCAGCGTTTGCCATAACACATCCCTGTCCACTCTGTCATAAGCTTTTTCCAAGTCCATGAACGCACAAAAAACTTTTTGGTTTTTCGCCAAAAACTTCTCCGCGATCATGCGCATGGAAAAGACTTGATCTGTACACCCCATTCCCTTTCTAAATCCCGCTTGCACATCCCAAATTTTTTCATCAGTTTCTTTCATAATTCTTTCAATTAGTACCTTAGCATACAGTTTTCCCACAATGCTAAGAAGGCTGATACCACGGTAGTTTTTACAGTCCTGCTGTGACTCTTTTCCCTTATATATTGGGACTATCACGGCTTTGCACCAGTCTCCCGGTACCCGCTTTAGTTCCCAACATAAATTAAACAAGGTGTACAGCAGGCCTGCCACCACGTCCTCTCCAGCCCTTAGCATTTCGAGTGAAACTCTATCATATCCGGCTGCCTTACCTACTTTCATGCTTTTCATTGCTTTCATTATTTCATCTATACTTATCTCCCTATCTCTTTCATCTTCTTTCGGAATTTCTATTTCATTTAGTTCACACTTCTCCTCACTCATAAATTCGCTTTCAAAATATTCCTTCCATCTCTTTAGACTCAACACTCCATCATTCAGGATACAGCCATTCTCGTCTCGTATCGCATTCAATCTAGGCTGTTTTGAAAGTCCCCTGGTATTTCTTACGAGTTTCCAGAACATTTTAATATTTACCTGGAAGTTATCCGATATTCTTCTATCATTCCTATCCGTTTTTTCTTGCTTTTTCCTTTCAACTAATTCTTTTATTCTCTTATTTAAACGTTTAAACTCAGCCTTTTTTCTTTCATTCTCATCATTCTTACCGCCAGAATTACCAGCTTTGGTCGCTAGTAAATCTAGCTATGCTCTCTTCTTTGCTTCAAATTCCATACGTACCTCATCATCCCACCATAACGTACTGTCTTTCCTTTCATTCGTTCTCTTACTAACACCACATACTTCGGTAGCTGCATCCACTAAACCTTTCTTAACATTATGCCACACATTCTCCAAGTCTAACTCATTCACACACAACTCATCCAAATTACTTATATTTTCTCTCAGTCTGCATTTGCACTTGTCTTTCACATCCTCATCTTGTAACCTCTCAATTCTTATACGCTGTAACGCAGTGGTAGACACAGATGTCCTATGCCGCCAACGTCTGAATAAACCCCTAATTCGGCATAAGACCAGGTAGTGGTCCGTCCCTTCGTTGGACCCCCGGTAAACCCTTGGATCCACCACTGCGCTCCTCATTCTTTCATTCACGGTTATGAAATCTATCATGCTTCTATCATCACCTCTTTCCCAAGTATACATGTGAATCTTCTTATGACGAAAGAAAGTGTTCGTCACAAAAAGATTCCTTTCCACACATACAGTGAGGAGGCCTTCACCTTTCTCATTAATACTTTCATCACCAAACGTTCCCAGTATCCTTTCATAACCAAGCCTCCTTAACCCAACCCTTCCATTAAAATCATTTACGCCATCCTTACCATCTCCCAAAACTGCTCTCGGATACAAGTGGGCTTAGACATGTCTGGGGCGTAGACCCCTAACACAAACAACTTCTTTAAGCCCACTTTCATTCGTATCCATAGCAGTCTTGGGCTTACACATTCATACTCTTTCACACATTGGCCCATTCTTTCTGAAAGGATGATACCTACTCCCTGGCATGCCCGCTCGATCTCGTCTACACCAGACCAGTATGCGGTATACATGCCATGTGTAGTGACATCCTTCCCCTTCCTTTTCGTCTCATTTACACATAATACATCTATTCCTCTATCATACATCATATCGCATACTTCATCCACTTTATCATTCATTGCCCCACATACATTCAACGTAGCCAGACGGGCCTCTGCAATCCACTTTTCGCCTCTCCGGGAGACAGAACGTGACGGGTGGCGAACCTCGTCGCCGGTTTTCCTGCCGGTTTTTTAAGCGTAATTGGGAAAATACCTGTGATAAAACTAGTATTGCAAAGATATGAAATAGGTTCTGCTAGAAATTCTCAAAAGTATTTTAGTACATTGGTAGGTATTCCATCCCATCCTGAAGCACTGCTATTTTTAGGGCTACTAATAATACTTTTGACTTCATATGTGTCTACTAGACTAAGTGATATCGATTGAAGTGGGGCCGGGTCCAATTTATTGGCTTTACAAGCTAAGGATGGTTCATTTAATTGTTTTTTGTTCAGAATAATATGAGCTAATTCACCACCAATGGAGGTAAAGTACTCATTTATTTTGTTTAGAGACGAGTAGGGATTATTTTCTATGTTTAATAATTCCGTAGATACTGATTTATTTTGTTTTAAATTACTTATTTCATTTATTATTTGCCATGTTTTTTTTGAGTTACCAACAGACTTAGCTAGCTGTAATTGGTAGTAGTTGCGTTTTGAGTTTTTAACATAGAATTACAGATGTTCCTATAACTTAAGTAATTCTTTTTAGATAGTCATCATCTCTTAATTTCTTTAGAATTTTATGTAATTTGTCCCTTTTGCGTATATATTTGATAACATTTGGAGTTACCCAAGGCTTTAAGGGTTTATATTTGCTTATTTACAATATATTCTTGCAGTTTGGAGACCAGAAAACTTGCCATTTCATCTACGGTTTTTAAATTATAGTACCCATGGGAGAGATTTCAATTCTACGCCTAATTTATCAAAGTCTATATTCATTTTGTCGTACTGGTAATTAGTTCTCTTCAGATTAGAATTTCCAAGATGTAGGATTATTGGGCAATGATCAGTAAAAGGTTCAAATACAAATGTTTTTTGTACTTAACTACTACTTTTGACCATAAAATGATCTATATAACTTACTTTTCTCGTTGGTTTATCAATACCTTGTCTAAGGCCGTACGCTGCCATAAGATTTAACTAATCTGAGAAGTATCCTGTAATGTTCTGCGACAGAATAACCAGATTAACATCTCCTGTAAAAATAATATGTTCTGAGTAAATCCCATTCAGCTATTTTTCAGTAGAATCGAGGTACGCCGTGGGGTTTCTAAAACTTGGTGATCTATAAGTAGCGGTTAAAGAAATTTTATTTACAATTTTTAGGACTAAACAACTGCCATCATTGATTTTAGGTTCATATATTTGTACATTTAGAATATTTTCTTTTACGTATAGGACAACACCGTCATTCTGATTATGGTTTGTTTTAGTACTAAATGAGTTGTAATTATCAATCATAGGGATAATTGTGTTTTCATTAATCCAACACTCCGTTAGAACTATATATATATAATATATATATATATATATATATATATATATATATAATATCATTTATTCGTTTAAACATGGTACATCAGAGGTGACATATATTGGATATTGTATATAGTCCACATGTTTACCACATCTGGCATGCGAAAATTATTAATTAAATGAAAAGACATAATCATGTACCTACATTGAATAATTTAAAACAAATAAATATAAATTAAAATGTTATAACTACAATCATTATTTGAAGCAAAGAATTTAATATGCATTATTCATTTAAATCAAATAAAATGAAAATTACAATCATCATGTCAATCATTATTAAAAGTAAAAATTAGAATGTCAAAAGAGTACATATATAAAATCTACATATTACACAAAAAATAGTCTAAATAATAATAAAAAAAACAATAATGTCAAATTCAGGCAACAAGATTCTATTCATTTAAAAATTGCTTTACGTCATAAACGCACTTTAATAGTAGCCAGCTTTTTAGTTTGATTTTAAATTTACCAGTTTCTGTCTCTTCTTTAATGCTTACCGGAAGTTTATTATAAATTTTTACACTCATCGCGTAGTAGCCAATATAATGAAATGCAGTTTTAGGTATAGGTTCTATAACTAGTCTATTAGAATTTCGATTGCTACGCAAATATACCTCAGATGCTTTTTTGTATATATGTAAATGTTTTTTTACATGAACACTTGCTTCAAATATGTACATGCCTGGTAAAGTTAGTATGTTAAGATCCTTAAATAAGGGCTTACAGGAATCATAACATTTGGCCCCAGTTAAGGCTCTCACACACTTTTTTTGAGCTATAAAAGCTCTTTTTGAATAAGAGCTATTATCCCAAATTAACAATCCGTATCTTAATATTGTTGCAACTTATCCATGATATGCAATGAGTGCGGTTTGACTTGACGATGTTCTTCTTAACCTATTAAAACATATACAAATCTATTAATTTTATTACAAATTTCGTCAATATGAGCCATCCAATTACAATTACTATCTAGTTTTATTCCCAAAAATTTCTTCTGTTCGTTTTCTTGCACTTTGTCGTTATTATATCTTATGTCAAGATTTAGTTTCTTTCTACTATTACTATAAAATTGTAAATAACAGGTTTTGGCGATATTGATATTCAAGTTATTATTATTTAACCATGAAATGACATCATTTATTGCGCATTTTATGTCGTTTTCGTAATAATCTTCATTTTAATAACATTATTTTTTATGATTAAAGATATGTAGTAATAACATTCATGATTATTTTTTATGATTAAAGATATGTCACCCGCAAACAAAATGCATGGGAATGGAGTTGAATCCGGTAAATCATTTACATAAATTACAAACAAAAAAGGCCCAAGAACACTTCCCTGAGGAAATCTAGCGTACTTAAGAACTAGTCGCGATCTGAATTTTGTCAAAATATTATTTTTATTAGGACTTATAACTTTCACACACTGTTTTTCTGTTGATAAGTATGAATTTATCCACTGCAATGTCTGTCCTCTTATTCCATACTTTTCTAGCTTACGTAATAAGGTGTCATGGCAAACAAAGTCAAATGCTTTTGACATATTGAAAAATACACTTGTTACATTTACCTTATCATCTATTGCATCAGTGATTCTTTTTAATAGATCAAAACACGCCATCGTGGTTGATTTGTTTTGCTGAAAGCCATACTGTTCTTTTTTAATAAATTTGTTTTCATTAAAATAATGACTAAGACTACTATGCATAGCTTTTTCTGACAAAATTGTTATTGGACGATAGTTGTTAATATCTTTTTATCACCTTACTTAAATAAGGCTTCAAAGATAGTTTTAATGACTCTGGAAAAGCACCTACTTCGAATGATAAATTTATCAAATATTTAAGTATAAGTGATAGTTCATCCTTGCAATATTTAATTACTTTTGTATTTACGCCATCATAACCTTCAATTCTAGAATTTTTTAAATTAACTATTAATGACTTTGTCTCCTCCAGAGCAATTGAACGTAAAAACATGTTTTTGCACGAGCTTTTAATGTTATATATGTTTCTTTCGCTTGCTTAAGGTGTTGGTGTTGCTTGTTTATCCTTGTCTGGCTTTCATAATACTCACTAAAAGCATTAGCAATCTTCTGTGAAGATCTTAGACATTCATTATTCTTGTTTATCATGTTTAAATATTCCATAAACATTTTCCTTTATTCCTACTGGTATTAATTAGTTTAAAATAATTTATTCTTTAAGACACGTCAATACACTTTTTTAGAAACTTGCTGTATCTTTTGTATTTTAATTTTATTCTCTTTAGTCTTTTTCTTATAATAACCAATTGTGAGTTTCCTTTTCATTAAGCAACTAATTCTCAAATCTTTTGTTGCAATCGAGTCGGTACTGCCGGAATGATTATTTTAAACAATCAGAACGCAAGCGCCATCCGGTGGCACTGGACAGAGTTTACGACGTAGCGGTCGACCGGAGCTGCACACACATTACCGTGGGCTGTCGGAAAGTGATGTCGTGTTGAAACTGTCCCGCGTTTCGTATAGTTTGTACATAGATTTACGTTGTGGTTTATGTTATTGATTATTTAAATGATTTTTACCTAGAATTACATTGTCGTTAATTATCGTGACGGCTTTTTATCGTTTTAAACCAACACCTCCCGTAGTACGTTATAAATTACTATGTCGGACGATATTGAGGGTAATTTACCCACACACACACACATATATATATATATATTGGTACCTCAAGTTCAGCTATGAATATTATGAATGGTTCTAGGTTACGTTGAATACTACGAATGTTAACAGTAATAATATTACTGCCTAAATATTTAAAATAATTATCGTTTCTAAAGCATGCAAGATCATTTACTATTGTACAATTGATGTCACCGGAGGTGTCAATCTCACCAATAGATATCTAGATTTAAACTATTGAATGTGAATAATAATTGAAGAACTGCAGAGCTCGTGTACAAACATAATAAAAAATGTTAGTGAGTTTCAGGCG